CATCGCCACCTTCCACCTGGGCCGCAACGCGCCCGGCGGCGATGCCATTGCCCTGATCGAGCTGGACGATGCTATGAGCCGCGAGACTCTGGAGAAGGTGCGCGCTCTGCCTCTGATCACCCGCGCGGAGTTGCTGCAGTTCCGATAGGGCTGCAGTTTTGGCAGGATCGAAGCTCTGGTACGACCGTCGTTTCGATAGGGCCGGCAGGCGTTGCGTCTGCTGCCGTTCTGATCTGCTGCCGTTCTGATTTGCCCCGGTTCCGACGTGCTCCTGTCCTGAAGGGATCCTCCCGTCATGTTTCGCCGCTTCGGACGCCTTCTGGTCGTTTTGCCGTTTCTGGTTCTCCCGGGGCAAACCTGGGCGGACAGCTTCGCGGACCTCGGCATCCGGGTGACGACCGGGCGGGCGCCGCTGACGGTTGACTCGCCCGTGGCCCTGCCGCCCGAGGCGCTGCCGGACTCGCGCCCGACCATCGGCGACGCCGGCATCGTCAAGGCTTTGCTGATCGCACCGACCGACCGCTACGGCCATGGCGTGCTCGGCGACGCCGTCGAGGCCGGCGGCCTGCGCGTGATCACCGACGGAAGCCTGGTTTTGGAGATCCGGCTGCCGCAGGAGGCGGTGTTCGAGGATCTGGTGCCGCGTCTGCTCGACCTGACCGGTGACGGCCGCGACGAGGTGCTGGTGGTCAAGGCCTATCGCGACCGCGGTGCTGCGCTGTCCCTCTACGGAACGACCGAGGAGGGACTGCGTCTGCTCGGCGAGACTCCGGCCATCGGCCGTTCCAACCGTTGGCGCAACCCGGCGGGCGCCGGCGATTTCGACGGGGACGGCCGTCTCGATCTGGTCGAGGTTCAGACGCCGCACCTTGGCGGTGTCCTGCAGCTCTGGGGCTGGGGCGAGGGTGGATTTCAGCCCGGCGCCCGCTTTGCCGGCGTCTCCAACCACGCCATCGGCAGCCGCTCGCTGGATCTCTCGGCCGTACTCGACCTGGACGGCGACGGCGACGACGAGCTTTTGCTGCCTGAAATGGGTTTGCGCGGCCTGTTGGCGCTCGACCTGCGCGACGGCGCCTGGGTCCGGCGCGCCCGGCTGGAGCATGCGGCGCCCATCGCCGGAGATTTCGTTGTGGAGGACTTCGACGGCAACGGCCGCGCCGACGTCGGCTATCCGCTGGCGGACGGGACCTTCGTCCGGCTGCTGCGCTGAGTCCGTTACCTGGTGGACCCGGTCGCGCGGAGGACGTCCGAGAGTCCATGACAGGAAATCCCGCTAGAGTGCGATTCACGCCACTTGTGAAAGCAATAACGCTTCCATTCGGAACGATCGCGCTCTAGGACATCGCCCGCGGCCGGGCCGGAGGCTCCGGGATCCCGCCGCATCGTAGGTAAAGAGGACAGCAGCATGGGTAACGTGGTCGTCGTCGGTTCCCAATGGGGCGACGAAGGCAAGGGCAAGATCGTGGACTGGCTCTCGGAGCGCGCCGACGTCGTCGTGCGGTTCCAGGGCGGCCACAATGCCGGACATACGCTGGTCGTCGGCAACGAGACCTACAAGCTCTCTCTGCTTCCCTCGGGCGTCGTACGTCCCGGCAAGCTCTCAATCATCGGCAATGGCGTGGTGATCGA